CTAAACCAAAATTATAAGTCACGCTCAATAGAATATAATTTCAACTGATGCTGACATCACACACTTCCATATGAAAAGGAAAGCCTTCCCTATCTTCAAAAATCTGCTCTAAACATCAGGAACAATAACGAAGGTCCTCGATTGCTTGAGAATACAGCTAGGCTCACTAGGCTCCAGACCCCGTCAGTTCTCCTCCCCCCCCTCCCTCCTTCCCCCTCCTTTCAACCCCCAAACTGATCCCTACATTCCTTTAAAGAAACTCTTCGACATCCAGTGCTGAAGAGTTATATTACAGTTTTTATTGTAGTGAAGGGCTGGAAAATATACTAACGAGAACTCCAATTTAAGGCTTGGCTATATCTTATTATATATATTATATTTTTTTTTACATGATATGCACGGAATTACCGCTCGTTCACCGAGGCCACAGTGGATTAGCGGATTAGTGGATTAGCACTATAACAAGTAATATTTATTTAGCAATTCACTCCACGAACTCAAGTGACTTATAAGTTTTACGCATCAAGAGAAAACGGCAAGTTCTTCTTTCATTTTATAAGTCTCCATGTCTTAAATACTCTTTTTGGTCCAACAAATACTCAGACTTTCCTGTAAATTTATAAAGCTGAAGGGGTAATAGATAAAATAGTTTTAATGAAATCTCGACGCATTTCACCACAATCATAAAAATGACATTTTTAAAGACGCGTTAGAAGTTATTTCGGGTACAATGGGCCCTAATAAGAATGACTGACACCCTAACCTTCATTCATGGTGGGCTTTATGATGGACTTGACTTAAATTCAAAACAAAATATCAGAAATCTTTCGCTAGCAGAAGAAGATACAAGCGCTAACAAAATATATTTTGCCTGTTTGCAGCATATCAATTTGAAACCAGAAAACTATTCGTTACTGAAAAACAGAAAAGTATAAATCACTGTGGTAAAACTTTTAAAGTTCAGAATCCGAAAATAACATTTATAACATAGCGCGCGTGCTTGACCTATATAAGTCCTGTTGAGCCGCTATGAACAAAATCTTTATTTGCGCACGCCCGTGCGTAAATAAGATGACGTGAGCATTTTTTTTTTTTAACCTGGCTTCAGAGTTTCCGTCCTGTTAAGCTGCAGTGCAGTTTTCCTTCTCTTTGAAATATGGAAGAAACCAGCAAAGAACTGCCCAATTTTTCTATCGACATTGACCTTTTAGGTCTTGATCCAACAAGCAACAAAAATAAAACCGAAAGACATTCGCTGGGAACCAAAAAAGGTCACCAATCGGTCAATAACAACATTTAAAGGTAAAATTTCCATTTTTGTTGTTGTTTTTTAAATTTGTTCCACCTGGAGAATAAAGTACACAGTTGTTAATTGGGAATTTACCAAAACCAAAACAATCAAGGCCGCAAAAAATCTAAATGCGACAAACGAAACAACAAATTAGTCACGCTTTGTCTCAAAATTAAATCTCTTTTCTCTTGGAATTTAGCTTGGTGCAAGGAGAAAAAATCCAGACACAGCTGAAACGTATGTCGCCGGGCCAACTAATCGCACGACACGTCAGTCCGATACTTTCTTCTTAACAGGTTCGGCATTCTTAATCGCTTATTTCTATACAGATCAATACTACCAAACTATTTCGTTTGAAGCATGCCTACTTCCGTTTACGCGTGGTCGTGCTCTATGACAATTTCTCAACATAATGATGACTACTTCATTTGCTCTGATATTAATAGAAGCTGTTATCATTGTCTGTGTTCTGGCATCCTTTCAAGTATCGCGTTTACAACAGATATTTCTTGTATGATATTATAGAAACAACAAGTTTCTATAATATCATAGCACACCATGTTCGGTGAAAGACACCAATACTCTCGAAAATGTTTTTTTCACCTTTTTTTTTAATTACTCGGCTCTCTGGATCCAACACACAATTCCACTAAAATTCAAGTTTATTTCAATCTGTGTAACTGTTGTTAATCTCTAAGGTTCTCACACTCTGATTCTCACTGAATTCTTCTTCTTCAACTACAGAAGTTTGACTCTACTCTTCTGCACTATGTCTTCATTTTCCTAGTCTGCTTTCCTCTCTCTTCTCTCCACTCTCCTGAGTAAGCTACAAAGAAAAAGCTTTAATAGTCACTACTGACAGATGTAGGTGGGCATGCCAGCCAGCTGACCTTGGGAGATTGAGCTTTTTTTGTTGTAACACTAAACCAAACAATTTCACGAGACTTTCGAAATGAACAATGAACAATGCTGTCGTTCAACAGAGTCAACCTCTGATTGTGTCAGCCAAAACATAAACTTCCGCGTGGGTCCAAAGCAAGGTCAGTAAGCAAACTAAGCACGCCCACCTAAAGAAGTTAGACGAGACTGTCACAAGTCGGAAATTCGTCCCGTCAGCTTAAACCTAAATAACATCGGAATTCGAGTTGATACGTTAAATACACTCTAAATATATGCGGAAGATCAAATCATTTAACAAATTATTAAATCATTTCTAGCTTCTTGAGTGCTCTCCAAACTTTCCAAGTGCTTCATATCTCGATGAACGCACACCGGACGTTTGAACCAATTGTTTTATAACATTTTCAACCCGATGAAATTTTTTTTTTCCTCGAGGGATTTGTTGACGTCACGAGCTTGCACAATAGGAATACGAAGCACGCTCACGCAATTGAATTTGATTAGACAAATTTACTAGCTATGTTATAAACTAAACTGATTAACTAAATGACGAATTCATAAAAAAATTATTTGAATAGCATGCCAGATTTTTGTTTCGTATCGCAAGCGTAGGAATCCTTTATGATGATGTTCAGAGCTCCGTCCGCATTATCTGACGATAATTTCAAGTTATTCACCAAGTAAAACTACTTTCCCTACTTTCGTGATGTTTCTAATTCAACAATAGACTTATATAATAAAGACCTTTGCTTAAGAACTCAAGTGGCTTATCACCTTTATGAGCGCCAAGAAAAACTACCAGTTCTCCTTTTTTTTCGTTTTTGCCCGGTATCCGCTGCAAATGGATTTCTGTAGTAGGAAATACTCACGCGAAAACTATTTGCGATCAAAACAAAAAATGTTCAAATAGTCTTTGGGTGCATTTTTTCATGCGTTTGATCACAATCCAGACGACCTTTTGAACGGTCAGCTGAAATCTTCACCGTTCTTTAATGTCATTGAATAATGGATCTCAATAAAAGTACCATGAATTTTGCGTTTGGTCATGAGAAGTTTAATTACACAAGGCTTGAAAACAGAGGATTTTTTTTCTTTTTTTGTTTTGATTTTAGATGATTTATTTGTTTTTCTCTTCAGCCACTTCACCGCTGAGTAAATGTATAGTTATTTTCGCTTTCCAAAGTCTGAAGACTGCGTTTGATTAAACAACAGCTAATAATGAACATGTCCAAACTTCCAGACAAAGAAGACATCGACATTTTATGGTCCGATAAAATAATAGAAATAAAAAACCTATGCATTCAAATTTAAAGATAGCATTTGAAGTCAGCCTCAGCTCTGAAAAAAAAAATGATGCTATTTATGCGAATAATACATATACCTGATATTTTTTTGGTTCAACAAGGCTGTATAAAACAAATATATCTTGGTAGCTTGCAGCAGTATCGTATCAGAAGGAATGTATTAATAAGATATCATTGTATTTCCGATAAATACGCACGCAAATCTGCCGGGCATTTTCCCTGAGGTCATAAAATAATGTGAAATTTAATGTGCGTAACATATCACTGGATCCATCGATTGATTGATCGATTGATGGAGTGGGTGAGTGAGTGAGTGAGTGAGCAATTAATGATGTGACTGCTTAGCCGTCTGACTATCATTGAAGTCAAACTCATTTTATACTCTACTCCGTAATAATCTGAGTAAGCCATGACATATCGTCACAAGATATTCACTCTCGCTTTATCAAAGCTGATTTATTATCGAATGACAAGGTGTAAGCTTCTTTAAAGAGAAATTAACGAAGGACATCTCACTGAAATCAAATAGGTCCTCAAAGAACTTACAGCGTCTTCTTAATGGCGGATACGTGAAGATATGCTTTTTAGGTGATTTACAGATTGTAAATCGTTCTAAATAACAGTTTTATCTCACTATTGTGCGGCTTAATTGAATAATGTAAATGACTCTGTTGTCGAGTTTTCACGATATCGGATAAAGTCAGGTACGTAATCTAAGGAGAGCACGTGCGCAACTGAAACAATTCATTATCAGGGCGGTAGATGCAAAAGATGATCGCATGTAACAGAACAAGGTTGAGAGTAAGGAAATTCTAAAACCGTTCACTGCCTGTAAACTCATCCTAATTGCAAAAGCTAGAAACTCCCCGTCAGCGGGATTGGTCACATTGGAACCTAAGCCATAAAAATAATAAAGAAAGAAATAAAGAAATAAATAAAAATAAACAATGAAGATAAAAATATGTCATTTGTTGCTTTTAATAATTGGATCGGTTAACAGCCAGCCACGGTGGCTGTGTTTTCATATCTCCATCATCATAGTTCGTTATGGTAATTAGAGAGGAGTACAAACGCAAATAAATCAATTTTAAGTTATTTAGCGGAAGATGCTTGCGTTATTCGCAAATGGAAGAACACTCTACACTTCCTAGCTTGAATGGAAGGATATTCTTCTAGAAACGATCGCTGGTGGAAAATTTTAAGAAGAAAAGCCTCTGAGATCGTGTAACATATAAGGCTCTGCCTGGACGAATGCATAATAATGAACTTTATCGGTGTTTACTTAGCCTCATCTTACTCTAGAAGGGTTGGAAGAATTTGATAAGTTATGAACAGAGATATCTCGTGACGGTCATTCATAAAATTAGATTATTACAAGTAGTGAAGGGAAGTATTATGCTGAGACAAGAGATTATTGGCAGAGAAAATAGGTCCACCTACCTGTCAGGTAATAAGAAACACATGAGGGTAAAGTCCTATCAGTTTATAAAAACTTTCCGCCACATTTTCTGTTTAGTTTCTCACTTTCTTTGTGGTCGCATATGCGTGTTTCATACCTCCAAAGAGTTACGCCCAAATCATTACAATGAGAAGTTCTCAACGACGAATAGGTATGTAATACCGGCTGTTTGGTAAACAATTTGCAGTGCATAGAAACTTCCGCAAACACTGTAGTCATTTTTTTTTCCAAATATAGGACTTTTTGTGAAACAAGTATGTCATTTAATACTAGAACTCTTCAATTTGAAGAGGCAAACAGTTGTAACAACGTTTATACTATGGGGTCTGCATGTATAACTTAATTTTGCAACGTGCAAGAATTCTCGAGAGGCTTTCTATATATCATCAATCAGTCGACAGAGAAAATAGGTCCACCTATCTGTCAGGTAATAAGAAAAACACATGAGGGTAAAGTGTTATCAGTTTATAGAGCTTGTCGCCACCTTTTCCTTGTAGTTTCTCATTTTCTTTTTGGTCGCATATGCGTGCTGCATACCTCCAGAGAGCTACACCCAAATCATGACAATGAGACGTTCTCAACAAGGAGTAGACATGTTATTATCAAGTATCATGAGAGTATATGGCGGTTTTATCGTGGCTTTGGTAATGCGGTGAAATTCCAGTATCAGTTGGTTTCGCGCAGACCTTCGTGTCTGATCATGTCCGGTCACATGACGAGTGGCGTGAGCAGCCGCTCAGTACTTTTACTCTATGTATTTGATGATTCATGTAATTTTCCAGTTTTATTTCAAGTCCAGAATATAATGTCAAACCACCATTTATTGACTACCGTTCAATGACTTGACAGTCGGGGACTGTTTCTGGTAATCATCAGTCCAAGAAAGGGAAGTCTGTCGTTGTTCTCAGGTTACATTGTGAAGCTGAGTGAAGGGTGGATTTCATTCAGTGTTGACAAGAAAACAGAGGCAGATGAAACATCGGGCATTTTGCTGAGGTTTTTTGGAGATACCGCTAATAGAAAGCAGACATCTTGTTTTGGTTTTCCAATTTTTCTTCAATATGGCACATAAACACATTTGCCATTAGTGGTCCGAGAGGAGAGAACTTTGCCCATATGCATCTCTCTAAACGTGGAATTTTCCATTCCTACAAAAAATATCGAAAGTTTTTCACATTTTGTTACCTTTCTTGATCAATCATCTTGTATAAAGAGCTAAAAAATGTAGGTATATTTGGTCAAGTGACCGCTTAGACCAAGAATTGCATAACAGGTGTAGTTGAGAGAAACTTGTCACAGTCGCAGATTTTAAAAGGCATCCAATACGAAAATATAGTGACCTGAGATTTTTTTGATGATTTTCAGAGATGAAATGATTGTTTATAAAGGGGGAATAGATATTAGTGTTGTAGCTTTCTGACAAGGGGAGATATTTGACCTCAAAGTTGTCTAATATTTGGATGAATCGAAAAGTCTAAAAACACAGTCGTTTCTTGGCCTCTGTCGATTGACAAGCCGTGAATCAAATTGATTTGATTCACGGCACATTTGCATTCACGGCACATTTGCATTTAAACGAGCTATTCGCTCATATGCGATATGTGGTTAAATAAAGTTACTTACTTACTTACTTACTGATACTTGTGGCGAACATTAAGTAAGGATGGAAAAATTAGTGTGCAAACCCTAAGAGTAATTTGTTGAATACCATCGCATTATGCAAATCAGTTGTAGAAATCATACTTGAGAGCTACGAAGAAAACAAGATAGTTAAAGATGGTTAAACAATTATTTGATATGGAAATGATATGAAATTATACAATAAAAAATCCGTAAATTGCTGAAGAGGGCTGCAAATTGATGTGTAGATGCGAAATTTTCTGTTAATTTGAATTGCAGAAGACTCTGTTATGGTTGACTCACTATTTCAACAGCACTACCTTCACCTAACTATAGATAAGGGCCGCTGTATAGTTCACCATTTTTGTTGACTACGTGTTTATTATCGAAATTATTCTTAGGTGAATGGCTACCTTTTCTGCAACAGCGATAATATTTCGTTTGAAATATCTTGGATATCTTGAAAAAAGTCATGTGAGTAAACAAATTCATGCAACACCGCAAGCTTCTGCTGTGTAGTTTTTCACCTCAAGATAACAGCCCAATTTTTTTTTTATGCTATTTACTCTTATCTTTTTTGGGAAAATGGCCAAATTTCTGTCATAAAACTTGATAAAAAGGACTTATGTCACGGTAGCAATTATACCTTGCTGCGGTATGGGCGATAATTCTCTGTGATGCAATCACGGTCTTTTTCTTAAAGGTAAACAAGCGCGAGTTTTTTCACAGAGCATATAAGGAAAACGATGTCATTCTGTAGTTTTGCTTCTCTTCTTGGGGCAGATTGTGGTGCAAGTTGTGAAAATCCAAACGTGGTTGACTTTGTCGAATTGAAAGACTGTACTAGGGATGTTACAGCTCACTTGAAGAGTTGTAACATTTTGACGGATGTTGAAAGCGTCAATAACAACGAAAGGAAATTATTACTTACAAATACCCAGATTTTTTTTTTTGTTCATATTATTTTAGTATAAGGACCAAACTTTGTGCCAGCATGTAGTTTGACATGATGTCACACATACCAAGACGCGTTTTGAAGGCTTGAAGCTGCTCGATTTTTCGCTTTTTGCAACAAGCGTTTGACGGCACTTTGTTAAAAATCATGTGAATTTTAAAATTAATACTCCTTAAAATGCCACAAATGAAAATCAAATAAATTATATTTTGAAGAAAAAACACCCACAATTTCTTACGAAACATCCTCCTTCCGTACTAGCGCACTAAAGTTGGTCAATTTTAATATATTTTTTGCATAATTAATTGGTGAAAACCCGAATTTTCGTTTTTCCCCATTTTCTCGGGCACATTTAATTTTTCAAACTTTGGAATAATTTTTTTGAATATATCTCCCTAAGAGGGTTTTCCAGGCAAATTATGAGAATTTTCGATTTTTTAGCCTGGCCATCGATCCTCGATAATTACAGTGGGTTTTCACGGTCCAGGCAAATTAAGGTCAGTTGGTTAAAAAAGTTTTTCGGAATCGTTGATTGAAGATCGTTGTTGGTTTTGAACTAATGATAAAAAAATAAATAAATAAATAAATAAAAAATTTAAAAAAAACTAAAAATATTTCTGAGAGCAAGCGTGAAAGGGAATTCTAAATCGAGATTTGTAACATTTACGATAATTAAAAATATTCAGTCATAGCGTTGTTCCAGGCAAGGTTCTCAGTGTCAAAGGTCTAAGTATTTCACTAAAGCATGGTCTACTATGTCCTATTTGCACATTCAAATCACTCAAGCCTTTGACTGATTTGGCGCATGAGCTTGTGTGAGAATAGGTGTCATCGAATTAATGTTGAAGCCTCTATCATAATTAACCAATTTATGTTTGCAGTATAGGCTAACGCAAAGGGGTAATGCACTTATGCTGTCTCTCAAGTTGATCTGGATTTTGAAATTCCTTAACAGTATGCGAGAATGCAAAATACGCACTGAATTGCATTTTCGTCTTTGCTACTGAACTTGATGTGAAAAAAATTGACCTTTTTTTTTCTCGGCGGGGATGTAGGTAATGAAGCACCAAGGTTTGACTTCAAGAGACATCTTTACCTAGTATGTCAGGTCATGTAATAGTACTTCATTCAAATTTCTTCTTATTAACGTGCGTATGTGCCTATGATTCACAAAAGATAGGGCTGAGAATTCCCTTCAGACCTGATTAAAAGTTCTGATAAAGTGGGTAAACAAAACGTACAAGCCAAGGTAGTCTATTGATTTCGAAAATTTATCCTTCGAAATTCGTTTCTTTGATGCTGAAAGTTACCAGACGACATATCTACACTGTACTTGATAGCCTTGATCCTTAAGTAAAGCCGCAACGTTGCCATGTCTGTTGTCTTTACCAGGTGGGGTATTTCATTTTCTGCTAAGACTCATTATAATTTAGTTCTAACAAAGCGTTTTATTCTACAAAATGACCTTTCGGACGACCTAAAAAAAATTCTAGGGGAGCATGCTACCTGTTTACCACTCCAAGAACTTCATTTCTTCAGCGGATATCAATCCGACCACCCTTACTAATCCTGGATCTACCCTGAGCAGTAAATTTACGCCATATAATAAAATTTATTTCCTTTAGGTTCTGATCTGCTTTTCCTGGCACTTTTTGTGACTTATCAAATTCTACCATCAACGCGAGCACTCCCAATAGATTGCCAAAAGAACACAGCAGTCTGTTTGGAAGAAATAATGAAGGAAGTCACCCAAGTTCGATTTGAGGTTAAAATTCTCACGGAGAACAAAACATTGGCGAAACGTAAGCACGATTCCTCTTCGTTCATATGTGTTAATACCTTTATTTAACATTTATTCATTTCAATTTTTATTGTTATTTTTCATGAGTATATCAACTGTTATTACGTTGTATTTCATCAACAGCTAAGAACTGTGTTGAGCTCTACCATTCCGGTCAAAGGATCAGCGGTATTTACACGATCGACCCAGATGACTCAGGCGCTTTTAATGTGTATTGTGACCAAACTACTTCTGGTGGGGGATGGACAGTCTTCCAGAAGAGAATGGATGGCTCTGTTGATTTTAATCGCACCTGGAATGACTACAAACATGGCTTCGGTAACTTGGTCGGTGAATTTTGGCTCGGACTGGACAAGATAAACCGTCTGACACAAAACATCACAAAGAACATGCTTCGAATAGATCTGGGGGTAACTACGCGCCAAACTGTTCACGCTGAGTATGAATGGTTTGGGATTGGAAAAGGGACGGCTGACTACCGGCTGTACATTGGCAATATGACAGGTAAGTAAACCGTCTCTTTAAACATTCATCGTTCGATTTTTATGTGTTACTTCCCCTATCCACGTCTTCTGCCCCATTCACACCATAGCTTAAAAGCTGTTTTGCTAAAATCGATTTAAAATTTATTTCTTCAGGGGTGTTGCTTAAACTGATCTTTGTCCACTTCAAATTTTGCACATTTAGCGAATTACCAAGTTAGTGACATCTTGAATCCTATGAAAAACTGATTTTTAATTCAATCCCTTCCCCCAACCCCACGTGACCTGCAAATAATGGTTCGTTCTAGCGTGTGTTTTGCTGTTAATTCTGCCCATAGTTGAGTCCACGCTCCTCCGTGGACAGTTTGCTTTCGAAGCTGCTTGAGATAGAAAATTCATTCAACTTGGCTTTAACAAAATCATAAAATTTGAGTATTTACCATTTTTCCCGATATTTTTGTATTTAGATACCTGCCCTACTTCGTCGATCAGTAGCTATCGAGTTTGAGGTGTCAAAAGTGTTATCTTAATCCTAATATTATGGAATTTTCTTTTTTTTTTTAACAGATGCAACTGTTTCCTCTGATTCCCTCAATCCTCACAAAGATCTCATTTTTGGTACCTGGGATAGAGATCCTGCTAATTGTACTCTAAAAAGAGGTAGAGGCTGGTGGTATGGCAGCAGTAGTGGTTGTGCTGTTTCGTCGAATCTCAACGGAATTTATCCGCATTGTGGAAAGGAAACCTGGGCCGATATCCATTGGAAAAAATTAGATCCAAACAATCCCAAGGGCAGCGCCCCCACATCAACTGAAATGAAAATTAGACCAGTGGATTTTTTTTAAAACTTTCTGACGGCAAAGTGTTCATGGAAATAGTGATTTCTGCGTCCTCTGATCGGTCGACTTCGCTTTTATTACAATTATGATTGGCAGATTAATGATTGAGTGGCCTTTTTTGAATCTGAATGAATTCCAACGGGGAAACACCATCGTTAACTGTTTCACTCGCGACCAGGCATCAAGTGCAGCAATCTGCATGCATGGTGATGTCAATTCTTTTTTCGTACTATTCATTGTTGATTTGAAAACGCTGTAATTAAAAAAAATTAGTTCGCTTGCTGTCGAAATTAAACCAAAATATCTTTGAATTCAGTTTTTTAATATCTGACAAAGAAATATATTCGGACCAATCGATGCCGTTTTGAAGAAGTAATTTGCACGACAAGAAACAAAACGTGTATCATTTTCAACGCCTTTTGATTCTAGATTTTAAAATGCTTAGAATATTCAGATTAGAAGAAATGACCAAATTATACACTGAACCATATATAGTTGACCAAATGCGATTTGAGAAAAGGATCTTTTCATCACATCGAAGTTAATTCAGAAGGATTTATACCTATGGAACATTCTAAGCTACTAGCTGGAGTTCCTGAATGTTTTTACTTATTTCTACAGTTTTTACGTTTCCTGATGATTTTTAAAGCGTCACTATCTTAGAACTATCAAAAAAGCGATTTAAGATTATATCAAAATATGTTACTTTGGGATATGTGAGTTTTAACGTGTGAAGAAATAAAGACTGTTGTTCATTATTGATGCTTTTACGTCAATGGCTAGACGATAGTGTTACCATGGTAACCCAGTAGGTCGCAAACCTACTACATTCGAGGATTTCCAAGCCTACAATGGTTATTCATTTCCATATTTGCCAGTGAAGCTTCTTGCGTACGACTGACAAGCATTTAAGACTGTAAAGGTATGGAGGTGTAAGTTGAGGACCTTAACAACTTTACATGTACTTTATTTTGCATATTTTGTTAATAAAAATAAACTAAAACCAAAACAAAACGAAACATAACAAAAGAAAAAACACACGTGTCCCAAACTAGGATAGATATGAACGGAAAACGCTAATTGTAATCTCTTACAAATTATCAGTGAAAGCCTGGATAAAGAAGGATTAAAATTTGATTTCGGTCACGGTATGGCAAGGAAATGTACGTACTTTGACCCTTACTTGTCTGTGCACTGTTCTAACATCTGATGAAACTGCAAATTGATCAAAATGAATGATGAAAAAGTCTAAAAGTTTCTCCCTCAAAGTCACGAAGTAGCACAAATAGCAAATACCGAACTTGGAAAATTCGTCATACATTTTGCTCAAATCGTTATATGGTCCGACTCTTCAAAACAGATGGCGACTGATCCTTAAGCTACTAAGTTAATTGAAAGTCCAAGACACTGAGATAAGGTTTTTATTCGTTTCCCTCTCAATTTAAAATCTCTAAAATACAAAGTCAATACTTTTGTTTAAAATGCTTAGAAACACTTTGTTTTCGTTTTTTATCGACCAACTTCTTTAATTTTGAGAGAATTTAAGAGAGTTTAAGTAATCTTCGATAAATCTTGATTGTTGTGTTTTTTTGGATTGAACCTTTCGGTCTGATTGCCTTTGCGGGTTGAATTGCTGCCAGAATGAAGTCGTTGAATTTCCGATCCATTACGTGAACGGATTGCTGCCACCTTCAAGTCGCTTTAAGGCAGAATTTCTTCTTAAATCATCAACACAATATCAAGCAGACAAGTGTTAAGAATAACGAGAAATATCAGTAAGGGAATTATTTATTGCAGGATCCAATATAAACTTCCCCAAAATAACACCATAATAATCGAATGGCAGCCAGTAAAGCGAATTTCTTATAAGATCGTGTGAGTGAAAGGCCGGTAAAGGGGTAATCACGGCTATCACTGCACTGAAGAATCTATTAAGCATTAGAAAGTGGACCGTGAGCAACTCCAATCTTCCGTCATTAGGATTTCGAGTCCTTAAAGCGCAAATAATATCAAGATTAGCTCAGGCATAAGCGGCATGCAGAGGATAGAGTAGGATAAAGTTAGGTGACATGAATTCAATCAGTGGGTCATTAGAAAAAAGAAGATTCAGATGACGAATAATAAGATTCAACGTTTTGCGACGGAAGAAGGTTCTCGGCATATGTTAGTTATAAGACTCATAGATGCTCCAAAAGGTTATCTGCAGTTTCTCAAGCTTTTGAGGTGATGTTCTTCGGTGATTGAAACAGGCATTAATGGAAAAGGAACTTCGAGTCGAACCTATGACCTCCCGAAAAATACTTCAGATGCTGTACCACTGAACTATTGGAGACTCGTGGCGGGCTGAGTCGTTTATCTTGGTCCATGGAGACAGACCTCCTCTATAATTCTAGGATAGGAGTGTCGACATGTGATGCTATTGCAAAATAGTGATGTAAATGAAGACGTTCAATTTTAATCCTAGTCATTTGTTTTTTGTTTTTTATTTATGTATTTTTTTCTTGTTGTTTCTTTGTTTGTTCTTTCACGACTCAAATATGGTGCGACAAGATTTGATAAAGAAAGCATGACGTCTCAATTAAAACGCACCTATTAGCCACTGAGTGCGCGCGTACTAAGTTAAACTTTTCCTCTATAATCATGAGTCCTTTAGGCGGGTATGCTGACGCTTTTGTCTTTACTGTTAGCATCCGAGTTTCCATTTTTCAATCTAATCTTTCGCAATGTCCGCCCGGTGGGATGTAGCAGGAAATATATTATTGTGGAATGCCTCTCAATACCTCCCTAAAGGAAGAAAGAAAAAAACAAAAACGAAAAAATTCAAATAATTTTAAAACTGCAAATTTGTCAAAATAAAATTGTCTGATTAGCATTTTCTACGTTTTACGTGAGGAACTGAGGCTGTTATCGTTAAAGCCTTTCGAGAGAAAAATAATTGACCGGAACTCCTAAATTAATTTTTGTTCCGATATTGAAACAATTCATCTCTGTGATAGTGCGGTTTTGCCACAGGCTTGGTAAAGTGGCGACTAAGCAACGAGGAGATAAACGAACCTTTTAAAATCTTAAGTACATCATTGTGCGGACACTGTGCTTGACAGGACCCCGTGCATGCCCGTGAGGGGGCGTGGGGGTGGGGTAAGTTCTTCTTAGTCGCATTTTCACGACTTGATTGACCATATTGGGGTTGTATTCTTTCATGGAGTTACTAGAATGGGGTTGCACAATTTTCGAGGTCTTGGGGGTGAGAAAAGTCTCGTATATAGGGATTTACAAATGGGAAGATCTACAATCAAAAAGTTGTCACCGTATTTCGCACTGTTGTTTAACAATCAGTTTGCAGTAGAGGAGTAGAGGGTAGTGGTATGCCCTTCCCCCCCCCCCCCCCCGCCCACGTAGGCTGCGAGGTCACTCTTCAAGAGATCAATAAAAGAAACAGATATCAACAAGATGAAGTGCTTTTGAAACAACATTCCACAGGTGGATAAACAAAGAAATTGATATTTCTCATGTGTCTAACATTCTTTGGTCTAAAATACTTATCTAAACTTTTGTTTGTCGTTGACAAGAGCTTAATTGGGTTTTTTTTTTGGTGTTGTAACAGTCTTCGAAAGCACGCACGCCGGAAACAGAGAAGGATTCGAAGATCAGTGGATGGTTAGGACCATTAGGCTTGCAAAAGAAAGCTGAAAGAGTTTAATAGACTTAGAATGTTTGAATCAAACAAAGCTTAGATTGGGGTCAAAAAAGAGAAAAGAACAAAGTACTTAAATCCGGTCGGATTAAATTGTTCCGTTTACTAACGCAATAACGTTACCTCATCAAGGAGCGACTATGATGGTTAAAAGCGAAAAATTCGACTTTTCTGAGAGTCACATTTCAAGCATTTCAGCAGTCAACATTCCTTGGTCACAGAAACGTTGTTCGGGCTTCCCTTAAGTAATCACATCAAATGTAGCAAGAAACAAACACACCCTGTAAAAGTTTTGCATTTTATTATTTTGCCTTCTATTACATATCCTTGTAAATATCTAGCAAATCATTACTTGCTCTTAGATCAATTTAGAGCAAGTTATCAGCAAATATTTACGTTTGCATCCCTTGCGAAAACGTTTCCAAACATGGGAATGAAAAGGTTAGTATTGCACTTTATTTGCCTGCTTTTGCAAAGGGGGTAATGCTTGTGCAGATTCATGTCGTAGTTAAAAATTTGCAGTATCTGCAAAGGTGAAGGACACAAAGAGCACAATGTCACGTTTATATCACATGTGCACATGAAAGCCACAAGAACATGAAAATCAGCACGTTTACACCAATTTATATCCCAACATTTTCAACACGTTTGCTTACTTTGCAACCCGAGAGAACCCAAATTTTCGTATAGTGTATTTCACCTTTTTTTTTTTTTTTTTTTTTTTTTCTGTCCTAAACGCAGAAATATCTAATCAATAAGATTCCAAGACAATGAGATCAGGTTTTTGTTTATTTTTCCTCTCAAAAACACGAAGCCAGTGATTTGTTTGTAAATGCACAGACGCAGTTTGTTTGGACAATCTTTTTGTTCAACTTCGTTGCGTTTGAAAGAAATTAAGAAAATTAGTAAATCCTCAAGACGTGTTCACTAACATGTTTTATTGGATTTAATCTTTCGGTATATTCCCTTCAGGGTTTGAATTTTCGTAAGAATAAAGATGTCCAATTTCCGATCCATTATAAATATGGAATGGAGCCACCCATATGTCGCTTCAAGCACTATTAAGAGGATCTCAAAGAGGTTCTTGTAATGGCTTTGCGGCTAAAATTTTTTTACGGTTAAAATTTTGGCCAATTTACGGCTAACGGTTAATTTCTTTCCTTCGTTCTTAAAAGAGCAATTTTTACGATTAGCCATTTTTTTAAGACCAATTGTTAAAATTCAACTTTTAGGCGTAATGGCCATTTTTTCTTGCCGTCTAACGGCATGATTCCTTTAACTCCCATAAGTGACCAACACAGAATTTCTGCTCACAATATCAATACTACATCAAACAGAAAGGTGATGAGAAAAAAAGAAAAATACCAATCAGGGGATTATAAGTTGATCCAATTCCATACAACATTCTACAAAATAAAACTATAAGAATCGTATGGCAGACAGCCAGAAGATTTGATACTGAGATCTTGGCACTGGAAGGGTTAAGGGTCGTTCACGCGGCTCACGCTGCACTGAAGAATCTATTGAGCATTGAACTAGATTTATTTTTTTTTAATTTAAAGTATTTCGAGTCCTTCACGCGCAAATATTATCAATAGGACAATTTGGTTTTAGAAACCGAGTTGATAAAACCAAAATTATCTTGTTATACTCCCCAACCGACGAGGCACCACAAGATTTCTTTAGAAACTTACCCCTTATTCAAATAGTATCAATATTAGGTTAAACATGAGCGGCGTGGAGAGAATGGAGTAACATAAAATTAAGTGAGATGGACTCAATCAATTTGTGATTTAGTAAGAAGATTCAAAAGGCGAACGATAGCATTTCACGTTTTTCCGTCAGGCTTTTTAACTCAGTAACCATAGAAGCAGGTTCTCAGCGAGAATTCTTGCGTGTGACCTACCGTTCAAGTGCATGCGCTGGTCTGAGAACTCAATTAAGCCCAGAAAATCAAGCTTCAGTGGCAGCCAGGTTGGAGGTTTGTAGTTGGTTTAATTTTGTAAGAAAATTTGCATCGCTTGTGAATGAGAGATATTTTTACATTTAACTTAGTCGTGTAGGGAAAAAAAAACAAATGGCATGAAAATAAAGAAAGAAAAAGAG